GGCATTCCCACGATCAAACATGGCCCGGATGATTGTATTATACGTTATCACGTCGGGAGGACTCCCGCTCAAACTCATGTCGTCCAATAGCATTAAGGCCGATCTTAGATACCCTTTCTTACAAAGATTTCCGATCGTTATGTTATATGTAATTGTGTCGGGAATTCCACCGGACATTACCATTATTTTCAGGACAGACATTGCTTTATCCACTTGATCAACTTTCGCAAGCCCACGGATTAAGTTCGTGCAAGAGGGAAAATGAGGAATCTGGTTAAGACGGGCCATCACCTCGACGAGTCTGCATGCCTCTGTTAACTTACCAAATCCGCACAAATTCTGAAGGATCTCGTTGTTTGTTTCTTTGTCGTTCTCAACAAAGGCTCCATCAAACAAAGAACCAACATGCTTTCTTGATTTCGGTTTAGCTCTGCAGTTTCTACCGAGACCAAGCAAGTGGACTTCTTCATTATCCTCGACATAATCCTCAACATCGTCGACTTGGTCCATACACACGCTATTCTGCAAACCGTAGCAGCGTAACAACGGATACCCATTTCGTCTCCGAGCATTATTTCTCTTCAGTTCTAAACAAGACTGTTTCTTACAACCCGAGTTATTGCTCAGACAACAGACTTTGAAGCAGAGATTCAGTTGTTTCGGATTGAGAATCGGATAATGCAGAAGTTGAACTTCGAGTAGGGAATTGGACAGAGCCATCTCTCAGAATCCAGAAAACTGAGCTCCTAGTCCACGATTAGGTAATCATCCTTTACCGAGCTCATGCATGGACCGAAAATTACCCTTCTCAGCTCATTCCCTAACCAAATTTAGATCTGAATAAGGAATACAACATGTGAAATTTCAAAACCAAAAGAATGAGAAGAAAATCTTGAACTCTGAATCATTACACAGACAACAGCTACAGTGAAGCAGACGAAATGAAACCTGAGTTAGACTGAGACAGCCTTTGATCTGTTTAGCGTTGTGCAATCGGCTATGAAAATGGCAACCGGAACCACAAATTTCACAAAGGAAAAAAGAACAAATACATTTGTTCGTAAGATCCTCGAAAAGCACCAAAAACTGCCAAAATTTTCTGGACTCTAACAGAATTCTGCAAAAACAAAAACCCCCAATTCCAACACAGAGAAGTTTCATCAAATACCCAGAAAAAAATACCAACAAAAACATTTCAATAAACATGAAATTTCAAAAACTCATTGCCATAGCCATCTTCACAGAATCAGAGAAACTTACAGGACAACGAATTGTACCCATATCCTAAAAATAGCTAAGGAGCTGAGATTTTAGCGAAACAATGAGAGTGATGCGAAAATTCTGAAGACGGAGATATGATAGACTCACCGTCGAGAAGCAAGCTCGGGTCTTTTCCTTCGCAACTTCATTCACAGTTCTTCGACAAGAACCTCCATGGCGTTGATAAGTAGGGTTTATCCTTGAAATATATTTACAAAATGGACCCTTTACTTTTTCTATTTTTCAGTTTAGTTCCTATATCCGTGAAAAATTCATTCTTGTCCCCCACAATTATATACATATATATATATATATATATAATTTGTGGGTGGCACGCGTTTTAACGGCAATTTTTTAATAATTAATAAGTATATGAAAAAGGTCGAGATATATACTCCAGCAGTTTAATCACTGTCAATGTTTGTGCTCTGTAAAATTCGACTTTAATTGTTAAAATTGGATGCCCAGAAGTTGGATATAAGAATATATAAAAGGTATATACATATATATATATATATATTCTAATTAAATTATAATGCATTTGATTTGGTTCAGAACTAGTTATAGTTTAGGGATGACAAAATTTCTCTTTGATTAAAAAAAATGATAACATTGGTTCGATATTTATCAAATTTGATTTGGTGTAGTTTGGAAATTAAAATTTCAATTAAATGTTACAATTAATTCCATTTTACAATTAAGTGGAGATTGACATCAAGCATGGTAATCTCGACTAATGACAAGTTGATTACATGGTTTTAATTAAATTTTGGTAATGATATCATTTTAGAAAGAAAAAAAAAATAGGACCATTCTGATTCTTCTCACCAATGATTTATTCTTTGGGCTTTGTTCTACAAATCTTTGGGCCCTCGAGGCCCATTTTCCCTCATTGTACGAGTACGACAAATGTGACCGCTTGGTACAATTTTTTTTTTTGAAACACACGATATTATTTTTTAAATAGAAAAATAACAATTTTTGTTTAAATTTCATAGTAACATGTATTGTTAAATAAATTATGTGTTTTCAAAAGTGTTGTTTTTAATTATATTTGAAAAAAAAGTTCAATTTACTGATTTTTTTAATTCAGAACTAAAAGAGATTTATACAGAATTTAATTTTGTAAATATATATATATATATATATCAAAACATTTTAAAACCATCGGATAATGACTTTTCACCAAATTATGAATTATTAGTGTCAATAATAATATTTCAAGATGATATAGGACCCCAAAAAGGTACACCAAATGTAGATAGAAACCACACTAAGAGATAACCTTAGCTTATCCTCGAATAATAATATTCCATACGCTTTAACAGTAATTAAGCAGCCATCTCTATCAAATCATCTTATTAAGCAAAATCTGTATTTTTAAAACATGATTTTGCCTCTATTTAATGCTAGTGTTTAAAAAAAACATGTCATGGTATCTCTGTTCAATTATTTTCATAAAATTTTATATATGATTATATAATTTTAACCGACCGTCCAGAAGTGGTGGTGCAGTGGCATAGAAGCTAGCGCAAAGTTTTTTCACCTCCACATTTCAAGAAACTTATATATATATATATGTCCCGAGTGTATGTATTTATTTGATACTCCCAACTCTAAATAAGTATTTTTAAAATCCATAAATTAAAGTTAATTGGTCGCTTGTATACGACAAAATAAATATTAGAAGTCGACGGGTTTTGACAATATAGAATTCGTATGGGTCAGCTGCATGCATGATTGCACGTTGCCACTCGGGAAAAATATATTCAGATGAATAAAAATATAGCAAAACATGGTGCATGTCGAAGTCGTCACCGAAATGTGTGATCAAAACTTATGATTATAATATAAAACCGCTGCTTTTGTGTCAAAATCAACGATACAAGAAAATTATTTGTTTGATTGAAATTATATTTATATGACATTAATAAATGACTCGTACGTGACAAAAGATGATACGTAGATCGATCGATGTGCTCCATTAGACGTAAGTTACGTGGGAATCTAGACCATTGACACGCAGATTCCTTTTATATATATTAAACTAACATATCTTTATATATATATATATATATTGCATTCTTGATTATCTTTTTATACATTAATTTATTGGACGATTATATATGTAGTTGGACCACATTATGCAAAAACAAAAACAGTTGAAACCTAGGACCTTCTAAATATGTATACTATATGATGTGTGTGCATATTTATTTATTTATTTTATTTATGAAGGCGGCCTCAAGCTATGCTTCATGTCTTTTAACGAAACTAGGGGGGAAAAAAGACATGATTCATGTGACGGTAGAGCAAGCAAGGGTGAGGCGCCGATTGGAAAACCGTCTGTTTACTTTTTTCAACGTTTTAGAAGCTTAAATATTATTCGGATAATTTATTTCTTTTTTTATAATATGGAGGCTTTAGTCAATTAAATCTTTTAAGTGATCGGAAAAATTCAGGTAATGCTCCTCTCTACATTTGGATTTGAACTCGTGATAAAAACATACTTTTAATGTTCTCTTACCATTAGGTCATTCAAGTTTGGTTATTATTCGGATAATTAGGGATACGACGTTGGTTTTATAATATTAACGAAAGGAAGCTTGACTTTATTAATCAATATTAGAGTATTTATACAAATGTGATAACCCTAATTATATATACATGATATTATATATATACCCTCTTATACGCCCCTCAAGATGGATCACCGGAGGTGACTCCGATCTTGACACAAAGATTATGAAATTGAGAACCAGATAAGGGTTTCGTGAGAACATCTGCAAGCTGATCAGAGGCCGAAATGTGTGTCACTCGAAGATCTCCCGACTCAACAAGACCACGAACAAAAAAATAGTCAAGAGCAATGTGCTTCATGCGGGAATGAAACACCGGATTCACACTTAGATAAGTGGCTCCAATATTATCACAGTAGATGACCGGTGTCAAGGAGCATGAGAAACCAAGTTCCGAGAGAAGCGAGGCAAGCCAACGAACCTCGGCAGCTGTCAAAGCAACGGACCGATATTCTGCCTCAGTAGAGGACCGAGATAATCCCTTCTGTTTCTTCGAAGACCAGGAGATTGGATGGCTGCCAAGATATACAATGTAAGCACCGGTTGATTTGAAGTCAAACTTGTCACCCGCCCAATCGGCATCAGAGAAGGCATGAAGCATGGAGGAGTTCGAGGCCGAGAAGAAGATACCAAGATCGCGAGTGCTAACAAGATAGCGAAGAAGGCGCTTAACAGCTTGCCAGTGTTCATCAGTTGGAGAATGCATGAACTGAGAGAGCTTGTTTACGGCAAAAGAAATGTCGGGGCGAGTCAAGGATAGATACTGTAAACTACCTACCAGCGCACGGTAATCAGTAGGATTAGACAGAGGAGATCCAGAGACAACAGTGAGGCGAGAAGACGACGCCATCGGGGAAGTGACAGGCTTGGCGTCAGCCATGTGCGCTCGACCAAGAAGATCTGATATGTACTTGCGTTGAGTAAGAAGCAACCCTTTCTCCGAACGTGATGCCTCGATTCCAAGGAAATAAGAGAGGTCACCAAGATCCTTGATGGAGAAGCGGGAAGCGAGATTCGAGATGAAGGACTGGACACGTCGAGGGCAATTGCCTGTAACCACAAGATCGTCAACATAAACAAGCACATATAGCCGCACCTCAGACGTGATGAGTATAAAAAGAGATGCATCCGCCACTGAGTTCCGAAAACCACTGGATAACAGAAAATTCCGAAGCTCCGAATACCGAGCCCGAGGTTCCTGTTTAAGACCGTAGATAGCCTTTTTAAGTTTGCATATAGAGTGAGGAGAAGTCGCATAAACAAAACTCGGAGGTTGAGCCATATAGACCTCTTCAGTCAGAGATCCCTGAAGAAAGGCATTATTGACGTCAAGTTGTCGTAAAGGCCATCCCTGAGAGACCGCAAGGCTTAGAATAACTCGAATCGTAGCTGGTTTAACAACTGGACTGAAAGTCTCGTGATAGTCGACGCCAGGACGCTGATGAAATCCCTTGGCAACTAATCGTGCCTTGTACCGATCCACAGAGCCATCAGGTTTGCGCTTAATGCGAAAAACCCACTTGCAACCCACAACATTCGAAGCCTCTGAACTCGGAACAAGATCCCAAGTGTGGTTGCGGCATAAGGCCTTGTACTCATCATCCATAACCGCACGCCACCGAGAGTCCTTGAGAGCATGAGATACCGTCGCCAGCTCTATATCCGAAAGAGAGGATGAAGATGTAAGGGCATACTTCTTATTCGGCTTCGAGATGTTATTCTTAGAGCGTGTGTTCATCGGATGAATATTGCAAGGAGCAGGAGCAGCATGTCCAACGTCAGGGACAAGCGCAATGGAAGGTGATGATGATTCGGTGGGCTCCGAGACGTCGGACAGGGCAGGTGGTGAAGGATCGGAGCTCAGGGACTGAACCGAGGATGGAGGAGTGAGTGGCGGCCTGAAACTAGACACGGGATGGACAGGAGGACTAAGACTGGAAGACGACTCAGACTCGACCATGGTTTGAGGCAAAAAGCGAGAGGGTTGTGAGAACGGGAAGATAGACTCAAAAAACTGAACATGTCGAGACACATAAACACGAGATGAGAGCGGATCTAAACACAAATAAGCACTCTGAGTGAGCGAGTATCCGAGAAAGACACACGCTTTGGAGCGAGGTTCTAGTTTGTGAGATGTATACGGGGGAAGCCACGGATAACACAGACAATCAAAAACCCGAAGTTTCGCATAGTTCGGTGGAGAAGAAAAAAGACACTCAAAGGGCGATGACATGTGTAGAATTTGCGTGGGCATACGGTTGATGAGATAAACCGCGGTGGTGAATGCATAGGACCAATAAATGACGGGTAAAGACGCATGCATGAGTAAAGACAAACCCGTCTCGACAATGTGACGATGACGACGTTCAGAGATGCCGTTATGCTCGGGAGTATGTGGAGGGGTGGTAAGGTGAGAAATGCCGTGAGAGGCAAGAAATGACGACAAGGCAATAAACTCACTGCCATTAACAGAATAAAAGGAAGTAATTTTACAATTAAACCGACTTTCGACAAGGGGTTTGAACTTTTCAAAGATAAGCGAACATCAGATTTTCGTTTCAAAGGATAAAGCCAAGAATATCGT